TCATGTAAATAAGACTGAGTCCAAGGCACACAGTTTCAGAACCACTGCGCTAGTTATTAAAGTATATTAAAGTGAAACATGGGCTAAGTACAGCAAGAAAGAGGGATCACTGTGACTCATTTTGACTTGATGGCTAATTTACAGCTTGAAAAGGGTGCAATTATCAGGTTAAAATCTAAAGATCTGTGGCCTGGATGAAGCCCTCAGTGTTTCAGGATCCTAACAGCGCCTCCTGCTTATGAAATTTTAATAATTTAAGTAAAGTATGATTAAATAAAATATGATTTGTTGACATGAATAACCTAATCCTGTTGGTTATGTCGGTATTTAAAAAAAAAAAAAAAACGTCAAGCGAAAGCGTGCCTTGCGTGCCTACGTCAGTAGCACGTAGTGACGTACTTCGGGTGACGGCGAGAGAAAAAGGAAATGTGAACTGCTGGCAGGAGCTGGAGCCGAAGCTCATCTGCTTGAGTAGAAATTTTTGGCAAAAGACGAGTTAATTTAGCCAAATGACTACCCACATTTACACGTGGCTTTAATTTAACTACCAAAGATGGTAGTTAACCCCGAGTCAAGCCGGGAACTGATTCAGCTCGTAAAACTGAACGACGGAGAGGAATGTCTTTGTTGGTTCGCTAGCTAGCTACAGTTAGCTTCCAGGATGGGCGATAACCGAACCAGCAACATATAAATGTCCATCGACTGATTCTTGAGAGAACCGTCTCTCGGCGAGAAAAGGGGAGCTCTGTGTGTGCCTTCAGCTACCTCCCAACCGCGTTGACACTGTTTACACGATGAAGAACTGCGAGTACCAGCAGATCGACCCGCGGGCGCTGTCAGTGTCGCCGCTGTCGGTGCAGAGCCACACCGAGAAGAAAGAGCAGCGGCCGCGGAGGAAATGGGAAGTGTTCCCGGGGAAGAACCGGTTTTTCTGCGACGGACGGATCATCCTAGCCAGACAGAGCGGTGTCCTTCCTCTGACACTGGGCCTTATTGTTGTCACTTGTGGCCTTTTCTTCGCTTTCGAGTGAGTATGTTTCTTTGCAGGGGTTCCTGAATGCAACACATGTCTTCTTCTAATGTGGAAGCTGTAAATTCCTTACGCTTTATGTATTTATGCTTTTTTAAATGTGTCCTCTCTTTTTTCCAGTTGAGGATTAAATGTGGTTTCTTTTACAGTTGCCCTTTCCTGGTGGAGCATCTGACCATCTTCATACCTGTGATCGGTGGGGTGCTTTTTGTGTTTGTGGTCACCTCCTTGCTGAGAACCAGCTTTACAGATCCAGGCATTTTACCCAGGGCTACCCCAGATGAAGCTGCAGACATAGAGAGGCAGATAGGTATGGCAGTGCACACCTACTGTGGGACAGATGGGGTAAAAGAGCTTTGCCATATGGGGCACCTCTGAGGGATGTGTTTGTTGTTGAGCTGCTCACCTAAGCTGCTTACCCTCTGTCATGGCTGAAAAGCACGAAAAACAGACAAAGCTTGATTTGTGTTTGTTTATCTCTTATTTTAATCATGGGTGGACAAAACTGTTTTGATCAAAAGTCTCACCTCCTTGTGCTTCTCTATTTTAAGATACCTCAGGATCCTCTACGTATCGCCCCCCTCCGCGGACCAAGGAGATCCTTATCAACCAGCAGGTGGTGAAGCTCAAATACTGCTTCACTTGTAAAATGTTCCGCCCTCCTCGGACCTCCCACTGCAGCCTGTGTGACAACTGTGTGGGTAAGGATGTGGTGGGAAGTTACCGCTTACTCCACTTACAATAATTAAACTTTCCACCATTGCTAAGTGAACCATGCTACACTGCTTGGCTCGAGGATTTCTCTTAAAGACCTCCTCTAGTGAAACTCAATTTGTTTTTGCCATGTTAACATGTTGGTATTGTGTTTCTTTTTATATGCTGGAAGATATATCGTTAGCTAAACAGGTAGTTAATGCCACGGCTGAGCCTTTCCACCTTGAAACTGCAGCATCTCAACCACACAGATTCACACTTATTGGGTTTCCTATGTGACAAACCTAAGGAATGAATCCTGTTGAACATATATAGCTGAATTACTTCAATATGACAACTGCTTATTATGTCATTCACAGTAGTTTCACAGTGTTTGAGCAGAATCGTAGGTGAGCTGGTGTGCTGAGTTGCAGCGAGGCAGGCAGGCAGGGACTTTTTAGATCCCCATATCCTTAATGAAGCAATGATGTAGAGTCACATCTAAGTCATTTTAATATATACAGGTAACACTTTCATGGAAAAAAAAGAAATCTAAATATGTAACTTTAATACACACGGATGCATTTTTAGGAGTTAAATCAGTGCTCGGAGAAGGACTTAATATTTTCTTTATTAGGTTTACCATCCTGTATTCATCTGCTGATTTATACCTTGGATGTAAGATGCAAAAAACGTTTCAGAACCTGCCAAAAATTTTATTTCCTTTTTTTTTTTAAAGTCAGCAAGTCAGTTTTGTTCTGGTGTGTGCAGGCTTTAGGTAGTTTGTCACAAGTAAGGAGTCTTTAAGACTTTAGGCCATTATTTGGCAAATTAGAGTAAACCACTCATCATAAATGCCTCTTATTGAAGGACGGATTTCCTTTTTTCTTGCATGTCTATATGAATATTGAAACAGTTTTTGTTTGCTGTGGTATCGGGATGAATGATGAAAATATCTAATTGCAATTTTTCTGGCAGATATTGTGATTTATTTTGCAATATGTTGTTTTGTTCAGTTTGATACACACTGCGTAATAGATTTTAAACGTGTGATGGAGCGTTACCATGAGAAATACCATCAAATGCATGACTGTTCCACAAGTAAGACACCCTGAATTTGTAACGCTGTTGATATGACAGTTTAGACATTGGGTCAGAAACTGCACAAAATGTATATGAAGTTCCATTTAAGTCCAGCTTTTGCAATTTTCTAATTGTATTAAATTTATTTTAATTGTAAATTTTAAGTCAATGATCCCTGTCACATCTGCTTTCAAGGCAAGAGATAATCAACTTGTCTGTGTTTCTTCCAAGGTTGCAGTATTTTTAATACAAAGCTCCCTTGTGTTTGCGCCGACTTTGTTTGCTTGCTATGTTTCTGTGGAGGGTTCGTAATGCAAAGAGACAATTTCCTACTAAAAGGCCTGTAACTGTGAAAGATGTCCACTTGATTAGTCTGACTCAGCCTCACGTGGCCTTCAGCTTCACTTTGGATTTCACTTTTGCACAGATTGAGGACTTTGTTCCCCATAACTTCAAATGGAATTGCATTAGGAGGGGATTTTTTTATGGGCCGCCATGAACAGGATGAATGATTACAGCAAGCAAACAGTGTTTCAGCGTTCGCATTGATGCTTCTCTGTTGTTTACAGACAGACTTAAAAAAGTGTGAAATTGTCTAAACAGGTACATACGTTTTCAGATCAAAGTAATTTATGTACTAGTAAGGTGCTGCTGTAGTTTAAGTTTAACTTTTTTATTTTAAAAGAACAAAATTTCAAAAAACCATTAGCAGGTAGAGGTCCATTAAATGATCCCTAGATTGAACTGTCTGCTAATTCTGTCAGTTTGCTCTGGAAGTCATTCGTCTTTTTGCTTCAGTGATATCAGAAAACCTTCTAGATATTAACCATTTAAAACAGCGATAAAAATACATCTGATCTCTGGTTTTTATGCTGTTTTTCTCCCTCAGAACGGTTCGACCACCACTGTCCGTGGGTAGGAAACTGTGTGGGAAAACGCAATTACCGCTTTTTCTACAGCTTCATCATCTCTCTGTCTTTTCTGACATCTTTCATATTTGGCTGTGTCATCACACACATTACCCTGCGTAAGTATTCTCCAACAAATGCACTATGATGCTCCTGTCATGTTGTCAACCACCGCTTTTAGACGATACGGTTTCTTGATATTTTTTTCTCTCCAGGTTCTCAAGCAGGTAAAAGCCTTGTTCAAGCCATTCAAGAGAGCCCTGCAAGATATCCTTTTGTTTATTCCAAATGATCAGCCTTTAATGTTTAAGTGATTATCGTGGTGTTTTTGAATTTGCTACTGGTTTGAGCCAAGAAGTAACAGAAGTTATACTGTTGACAAGCATTTCCTGCTGCTTCTCAGCCTAAGCCCACGCTTAATAGGATCACAGAGTTAGAATCCAGCAAAGCAGTGCTTTTAGACAGATGGCTTTCCAGTGGTAGGTTTGCTGCCTCATGTGCTTGTGATATGATGTCGGTGGCTCGGCAAATATAGACTATGTGTGACTGAGTGGTTCAATTTGTTGTTCATGAAGAGAGGCCGGACCAATTTCCTCATTGTGTGGATGATGTGCAGGACATTCTGCTATTTTTGGTCCAAGTATATATAGAGTGTTGTTTCCTATTTGTTATCTCAGGGTGCAGATGATCTAACTAGATATTTTTTGCACCTGATTGCATCAGTTTTCATGTCACAGTTAATTTAGGAATCATCTGTGACTGTTCGGCCATAATTGCATCATCGTCACGTGATCTGTCTGATTCGACGTGGTTAGTGGAAAGAAAAAGAAGTTACACAATCACCTTTGTCCTAAATGTTAGTTATGGTGCTGTAACTGTCATGCGTGTTTAGTTATCATTGACGACAGTGTTGTCATGCCTTGACTCTTGTGCACTATTGTGGAGTTGGTGATTTGCTTCTTCTCCATCTGGTCTATTCTGGGCCTCTCAGGCTTCCATACCTATTTAGTAGCCTCCAACCTCACCACAAATGAAGATGTAAGTAGCGACGTCTCAATACGACAACACTGATCTCAAGAGTCATGTTCAGTTCGTGTAGAAATACACGTTAACTACTTAACAGCTGTTGAACTGACGGCTTTTTTTGTGTGCTTGTTGTGCAGATAAAGGGATCCTGGTCAAGTAAAAGAGGTGCCGAGGAGTCGGGGAACCCGTACAGTTACAACAGCATTATAACCAACTGCTGCGTGACGTTATGTGGCCCCATGCCCCCAAGGTGAGTAAAGATGTCAGGAATTCTCATCGTCACCTCGCACATTTAACACATTTAAAGTTCACTCTGTGTCTCACTCATCACCTCGGCAGCTTAGCGTGTTGAAACATCACCTCTGTTCGCTAACAGTGAAAATGCATCACGAACATTGCTGCAGTGACAGCATCAGTTAGAGCAGAAGTACAGCTAGGAAAATTCATTTCTGCTTATCGGTGCCTAAACAGTACGGCTGTACTGTAAATGTATCCCACACAGCCATCAGTAAGACAAGTTTAATGCATGCATGTCTTCCCTTAAACAGTACACTGGGGCTGGTTGGGTTACTTTCATATCGGCTTTTGCGCTTCAGTGCAACCTAAGCTCAGCTGGTGTCCGCCATTTACATTTGTTTACGACTCCCTTGCCCTCTGTGTTCAAATGCTGTGTTTTTATAGAGCTGACTTTCCCATTAAACTTTTCTCATTTACATATTTTTAGTTTCTGTTGTCAGACAACAGGACAAGTATGAAAAAGTAACTGAGACGCAGCACATTAAGGCTTAATGTTAACCAACAATCACTGTAGTCGTTACTATTTGGCGATATATTTCCATGTAAAATAATCTTTTGTTTGTTTCGTAGCTTTGTGTGTTTGTTTACCTTCTTAGACAGATGGACAATAGTGCAGGAAGTACTTGGTAGTAAAAATACTTTAAAGAAAAGTATGTAAGTTTAATCAGAAAAGTGTACTTTGGTTTTAAAAGCAAAAGTCCTCAATGCAGAATAATGTTTACTGTGACTGTTTTACTATAACACTCTACATTATATCCTGAGATGACTATTACTTGCTTATGTAATGTAAAAGCAGCATTTAACTGTTGTAGTAATGATGACCACCTGTTCGTCAGAGAGTGAGAATTATGTAAGCAGAACTTGAATCAGAAAAATGAAAACGCAAACAAAACCCGACCTGCACGTGCAGCCAGTGTTTACGTGCATCCTAACCTAATCCTCTGCTTTGTTCTCCAGCCTGATTGACAGAAGAGGTTTCGTTCCTCCCGATGAGGCGATACCTGCTGCTTCTGTCTCAGAGATCGAGCTGCCTCCCTTCACCACAAAGAATGACGCAAACATGGTAGGATAAAACAGCTTGTGGTCCCTCCCGAGTTCCGACTGTCCCTTAGCTCCTGTGCTGTTGTTATTGTTAGCCTGCCCCCATGTGTGCCTTCCCCACCCAGTGTGTCCCGTCCTTGATCCTCCAGACTCCAGCTTCAGTCCAAGCAGAGTTGGCCGCATGCAGTTCCATTAACGTGTTTTCATCGCTCTAAAAGTGGCATATTTTTTGTATGTACTATCTCTGAAATCAGAAAGAGCATCTTGTATTTTTTATAGCAGTTAACGGCCGATTAAATAGTCAGGACTAGAACGACTTCACAAGGGCTCAGGTTTGATGGCACAATATAAAGCCAAACATGTTCAGTCGAAGAGATTCGTCTGGCTGATAGAGCCGACACAGAACAACAACAAAAAAAAATCAGCTGAAGAGGTAATTTATCACCTGTGTTCTTTGAGCTTTAGAACAAAATGTCTTGGACGTCACTTGCAGCATTGTTTGGCATCACTGAGCAGTTAAAAATGCGAGAAAAGTGGGCAGAGAGTTTAAAGAGTTTTCACTGCCAGAAGAGCGAGTGTTTGTTACGTGAGTTCTCTGTCACGCTGCTGCAGATAGTTTACAGTCGTCGTGTGCTGTGGGACGGTGAACACTTTAACTGTTGCACATTTTGATATTTGTTTTGCTTTAGACTTCTATGAATTCATGGTGTTGCTGTGTCTACCTCCTTGTTTATCCACTACTGAGTTTGCTTGTTTTTTTTTTGATGTGAAGGTTAATGCACACAAAGGATTTGATTACTGACTTTTATTAAAACATGCAAATGTGTTGGAGTTTTCAGCACTTTATCACAAGTCACTTGTCACTTGCCTTGAACACAGGGGGGTCGACCAATTATCGGTTTGGCTGATTATTGGATCTGATATGCAGCACTTCTCTGATCATTTTTTATTTTAAGAATGTGTTGCTTTGGCTCTGTTGCTGCCGCCGAGTCTTTTTATCTGTTGCCACCAGCGTAGCGTCCCACCTGCAGCACTGTCTGATTGGTTATGAATCACGAGCAGTAGCCTGTTGACACTTAAACGTCAGAAAGGTGTCACTTTCTGCGTGACTAAGCAATTTTAAAGAAGCTTCATGTTGGAGATTTTATTGCCCTAAGTTTTCACACCAAGGTTTTCATTTTTACTGCAAATCTGTTTAAAATATCAGTCGTCTCACTCCTCGATTGCTAATAATCAGTAACGATATCTGCCCTGATTGAACCACATTGGTCGACCCCTGTTGAATACATTTTGTCTCAATATTGTCAACATAAAACATTTCTGTTATTAGCAACATTGCTCTATTTTCTTAAAACTATTTCTATTTTTGCATACACAAGTGTTCTTTTACGTGTGAAATAAACAGTATTTTTTATATTTTGAGATTTTGGTCTGTGTTTTGAGTTTCCTCTTTAAGTCTTCATGTGTCTGAATTTCAAGACATTTGGGGAAAAAGTTTGTGATCAGAAGGGTTTGTGCATAAAGAATATTTGTATGTTTGTACATGCTAGATGAAACGATTTGACGCTCAGTGTTGTGCTGTATCCATTCCACCCTGCTAGGAGGAGAACTGTCAGGATTTTTCTTTGTCCTGCACAGCCTGAAGGGCACTGCTGCATGTAGACGGTTGATGGTAAGAGTAGGGTCGAACATTAAACCAATCACAACATCGCTTCACTCCCCATTCGCTGTGTCACTCTTTCATATCATAGTTGGATTTGATTATTATTTTGCCGTCATCTCTCTCTCGAACGGTTATTTATTTTCTGAGACGTTTCGTTATCTGCGGTCGGGGCAGATCTTGTGATTGGTTTGTGGTGATGGTGTGGATTACTTGTGAATCATGTGAATGTGCATGCTTCACTACCATTCATTCGTCCTCTCATTAACCATGCGCTCGCTCACTCAGTGCTGGATGGAGCTTGTTGTTCAAAGGCTGATGATCTTTGTTCTTTCTAGTTATACATGAGATTTTTATGCATGCATGGTGACACAAACAAACACAAGTCTGCGTGAACTGTATCTTCTTTGTTTGAGCCAGAAGAGACACAGGACGAAGCAGCTTCTCCACACATCTAAATCTGTCTGTACCTGTGTTTTTTACCGTTCTAATTGCATCGTCTGCCTCTAACTCACTTCCTCCATTGCTCTTCCATTTGAATCTTTTCACAGTGTTGTCATCAGGGCTCTCATTGCTTTCACTGTGCTTCTTAAACTAATCCTCTAAATCACATTGCAGAATTTTCTATGCACACTTGTCCTGTTCTTTTTTTATTTTTTTTTCTCTTTCTGTTCTGCAGCTTGGTCTTTCATAACCCCCTCCTCGTGCTCTTTCCCTTTTTCTTGATTTCCTCTCTTCTTTCCTCTTCACACAGTGCACTCAGAGCACAAAGGACGTGCTGGAGAGGATGATCCGCTCCTCCTCCGACTTTAATGGCCTGTGCCCCCCTGGTACCCCAAAGACCACCCCTCTGGTCCTGGATGTCTCCAGCGCCGCAGCACCAACCGCAGAGCCTTCTTCACCCCCTGCCGGCTGCTCACGTCAGCACCCCCACCGGCACGCTCCTTGCCCCCCGTTCAGCAGAAGCAACAAGAGCGACTCGCTTCACTCGATCAATCCGGCCTTCCGCCTGGCTTCCCCCTCGCCGTCGCTAAGCCGCACCACTCTGATTCTGGGTGACGCGCCCGATATCGGCTTCAACCAGCTGCACTGAGAGCAGCAGAAAAGGAGCCATAGTGGACTTGTCCTGCTGCACACAAAAAAAACGCTGCTCTGCCCAGTTTTGGCTACAAAGAACCCTTTTCCCCCCTCGTGGTGGTCGTAATGCATGTTCTCAAGATGTCATTGTGAGGAGTCGATTACGTTGTTTCACCGGTGTCCTGCTGTACGTGTCCTTCAGAACGGAGGCAAATCTTAGTAACACTCGGAAGCACAAAATAGAGATATTTTTTTAAAAACACCTTTTTTTTAAGAGACGCCCAGAACATGCCTCCACACCTTCCGCAGAACCTCAGTGTTTAAGTTCCGGCTATTGTCTTATGCAAACAGGTATTTAAATCTGGGAATACTTATATTTTGAGTGTGGATGCAAGAACAACCGTTTTGATTTCCTGAACTGGCGTGCTCTGGATAGTGAGCCATTTCAGGATTACTGACTCAAGAGCTAGCCTTATGTCCTGTCCTGTCATTTCCAGTTATCTGGCCACATCATCCCAGTATCACCGGGTGGATCCATCGCAATGATAATCAGAGTTTAAACATGGAGGGCGAGGTGCAGTTTTAATTTTAATGTCTTCACGTCAAGGTTTTTGCTGTATTTAGTCATCAGTTCTGCATGTCTTGTACATCAGATGTTCATAGGATGGCAAATATCTTGTCTTTTTGTGACGTGTTTCACTTTAGGAAGTTGAAAGAAGGTATTTTAAAACAGGTCAAATGGATTGCTCAGACTTTTCCATGTGTAACTATGTGAAATGTGTAGCATTTCAGAAATAGTACCTCCACATATTTTATGTCGACTTTGTTTCATAATCTCGTGTTTTCAACATCAAAACAAAGTATTTAAATCAAATGTCCTGCTCTGATTCAGCAGTATTTATCACTGACACACTGTTTACCGTTAACGTACGCTACTGGGATGCTCGGAGTACGAGCCGGCATCTGCTTTTTCTTTGCCTACGGGCACATTGACTGTACATTGCCCGTCACGAGTGTGTTTGTGGTTACAGGCCCGACGAATGGACTGTCTCAAGCAGGATAACGTTTCAGGAATGTTGATGAGGCCTCTTTCGTGGCTGTGACCTTTTCCTACTCTTACAGCATGAAACCTAACCTCCCCTTATGTGACGGTGGAGTACAATTTCTAGTGAGAGTAAAAGGCAGGAGTCGATTTGTGCCACTAGAGGGCAGGATGTGAATACTGATTGCAGTCCGGTCTAACAGGGATCTAGTAATGTGAAACCCATTAGAGAGAAAGGCCTTTTGATGTTTTATTTATTTTTCGTTACCGAGCTTTGAAGCTGTACAGAGGTTGTGAATCTGTGAAGAGCCATAGTCAGTGGGTCGATCATTTATCAGTCTGCATCAAGACCCCATAGGATGTGTAGACGACTACAAGCAGTGCTTGTATGAACAAACTTGTTTGTATTTTGTAGGGTGTAACAGTGGAACTGTAACATTTGGTCAATAAATATGATCAGTTTTGTTGACTTGTTATTGTGAAGGTTTATTTTTTTCCTCACATTGACTGGGACAGAGAGGCTTCTTAACTGCAAACCCCTGCGTTCACTCACAGCGACTTTAAACATGTCAAAATATGATGCTCTACATGCAGGGTTCATTCTCTCTGACAACTCTCTCATGGAAACAATGATGAGATGCATGTTAGCCACATGTGCTCAGACAGGCAGACATAATAAAACGAGTGTGTGCGGCGGATCCATCAGCTGACACAAACCTGCGGGTTAAGAATTCATGTGCGCTGATTTGTCTCTGATGCTGAGTTACAACAGGGTGACGGATGAATCAGGAGGAGATCCGTGCTTCTCAGTGCTCCACATTTTTCATTGGACCACTTCGTGCATGTTCCAGCAGAACACAACAATTAAAGGAATATTAGCTTGATAATAACACTTTTTACTTGCCTGAGATACACTCCAATAAAATCCGATTAGGTCTTTTGAACTACAGTTTAGAGATTTTTCTTCTTGTAAATAACCGCATCATGAGTGTTTTCTTGGCGCTGCTGACCACCAGATGTTTGCTCTGTGCCGAGCACGGTGCCTTTATAGGTGACGTTTTTGCATGAAATTATTAAAATTGATAACTGGAGAAAGTTAGCCCGAAGGCCAGTGTTCACAACGGATGGAAGCGGCAGCTGAGGCTGAAGGCCGACTGCACTCAGCTGTCACTGCTGTGCACGGAAAAGTGAGAATGTTGCTTTGAGGCTCTCCCAAAAAACTACTTTGGAGGCTTTTTGTGTTTTGTTTTTGTGAAGAGTTGTCTGCATGCGACAGCTGGTGCCTCCTGTATGAGGCTGTTATTCGCCTTTCAGTGGATGCTGTTTGAAAAATGTGGAAAAAGGTTAGTTTTGGATGCAGTTTCAGCACTTTTTTGAGTGTGACTTTCAATGAATTGGTGGAAAATGATGGCTGAAGACATGAACTCACATAGAGGATGTCATCTTTGCAGCGTACAGACCCTTACACAACTGAGAAACATCATCACTGTGAAATATGACAATTTACATGGATTTCTTATATTTTTATGGATCCTTATTACCTCATTGGACTTCAAAAGACTCCGACGTGTCAGTATGGCAACCTGTACATCACAAGCTAACATGAACCAGATGGTCGGACCTTTGGCTCAGTGTCTTGTGGAGAGAAAAAGCCAAAGCATCACTACCTCAGCAGCTGTGTTGCATTTTCACCGCAACCCCGCCAGAATAAAAAACTGTTTGCAGGAGACGAATAAGTTTGGCAAATTATGTTTTAGCATTTAACAAAGCCAGTGGAGGGGTCATCGGTGCGTTTTGTGTTTATTTGTACACAGTGTTGACATGAGGATTATTTGCTGGCTGCAGGTGATTATTCGCTTGCTGGAGTGTATCGTGCTCTTTAACCCCAACTGGTGTGGCACAGAGACAGAGCAGGCCACCCAGTCAGCAGGGGTGAGCTTCCTGCTTTACTGCTGGTTTTTGTGAATGAGAGCTTGTGTTTTAACAGAAAAAGCAGCTTTATTTTACTTTATAGGAGCTGGTATGCCAGAGAGATGTGTAAGGGTTGCAGGTTTTAACGCTGGTTCCAGGTCTTTTCTTAGCGCGCATGAGCAACATACAGTAACCCAACAGCAGGGAAAGCCATCTCTTTCACTTCAAACTAATAAATTCCAGCTCCTCCAAAGAAATAATCCACTACCAATTTACCTCTGGCCGTCATCCACCATGTGATTCACCGTGCGCTTCGTTCCTCTTCGCCTGAGCCACGTTTGGCTCTGCTGTCATGTGTGCAGCCGTGTGTCACACTCTCACAAGTCTTTTCCTCATCGCTCGCTGGTCTGAGCCGAGCAGAAGTGAAGGACCTCTGTGAGCAAAACAGGTGACTCACAGTCAGGGCAGCTGTCAGCATCACTGCTGAGCTAAAAGTGCGTCTCTATGCCGGCCAGTGAAGCTGGATATAATTAACCCTGTGCTGAGCAGAACAAACCAGCTTGGGGGGGGGCGGCGTTGGACTTGCAGCTGCCGGCGAGAAGAGTTTGTTGCCACTGCCAGTGAAACATGAAACAACCGAATCCGGTTCCTGACGTGCACATGCTGGTGGTTAAACTTTTCTGAATCCTGGATGTTGAACTTGAATACAAATAAACTATTCCTGCATTTAAAAAAAAGTGGATGTTACATGCTGCAAAATTTCCTCAACAAAACCACACATCCTAAAAAAGGGTCCATTAAAATTTTGCAACCCCAGCTGTCACTAAGCGCAGGAAAGGTGATATATGAAGCTGGGTGTCTGTGTGTGTGTGTGTGTTTGCTTGGCGCTTATATGTATATTTGTGCTCTGCTTTTCTAGGAATTTCTTTTGGGTGTAACGTTGGAGATTTGATTATCTGTGTGTTTGGGCATGGTGGCTTGTGTCAGCTTCACCTCGGAGCCTTGTTCAAAGAATGGAGCGGGGTCAAACAGTCAGAGCGGCGTTGCACATCTGACAACAATAAACATGTTATGCTACGTAACACAAAGATAAATTCATGCCACTAACTTTATAGTGCCGTTTAATTGCTGCGTTTTGTATCAGTCTGGCACAGTGACACAGAAGCCCCTATGACTGTTGTGATATGCCGAGCACGTACACGGTTCAAAGTCTTGGTCTTGATAATGTAGCTCTCGATTATCCTCGTATCTTGCAAATAGTCATAAAAATAATTCCCACTTTTCCAAGACGCTACATGTTCTAAACTGCAGCATTCTGCATTCTGTCCACTGCACTGATTAGATAAGTGAATAAGCAAAAAGACGTGAGATATCATCGGTTCTCGCAGTGGAAAAACGTCGGCTCCGTGCGGCGAAGTGGAAAGCGCTCCCCATGGAAACCTGAATATGTGCCACGGAGCTGGATTAGTGTTGCAGGGTACCACAGGGTCAGACCTTATCACAGCAGCCATTATCATGAAGACTGTTTGATATGGCCTCAATCAATCTGCTAAGAAATGCTCTGGTTGCCTGTGAGCCGGTGTTTTTCTCTCACAACATTTCATGAAACTCACCTGCCAGCAGATAAACTTTTTTTTTTGTATTTTATCTTTTTACCACCCCACTTCATTAAATAATCAGATGACTCATTCGTTATATAACACGAATGAAGAATTACTTGACTTATGTAACAGACAGACATCTCTACATACATTTGTCTATAACATACACAAACCGCTGTGTGAACGTTATTCTGTGAACATAGTTTTGCTAACACTCCCATCATGACACATAGCACAAGAATCATACAGGGTCCAATGTTATCTTTAGCTCTGAAAATGTTTGCTCCTTGCATAACATAAAGCCATGGAAACTGAAAATAACCTCTTTAAATGCTGCGTTCTTCTGTCAGTGTAACAAGTTTTCACTTAAATGTGAATCTTCTCGTTTTTTGGAGCCCTAAGAACAAGCTTTTTTGTTTCAGTTTTGCAAAAATGAAACCACAAACTGCACAAGAAAACTAATTTAAACAACATAATTACAGATGTATGTTCATCTATGTGAGTGTGTTAAAGTGCAATTTGATATTTGGCACCTCTGCTGCACCAGACTCCACCGAGTCGCCACAATATTAAGCCGTTCTCAACTGCAAGGACTTGCAAACCATTTTATTGCAACCTTGAACCCTTTAACACAGAACCTGCCCCTGTAGAACTTCTTCCAGAACTATTTTTTAGGGAGAAAAAAGTACCTACGCCAGGGGTGTCGAACTCTGGTCCTCGAGGGCCGCAATCCTGCATGTTTTAGATGTTTCCCTCTTCCAACACACCTGATTCAAATGATCAGCTCATCATCAAGCTCTGCAGAAGCCTGATAATGATCCTGATCATTTGAATGAGGTGTGTTGGAAGAGGGAAACATCTAAAACATGCAGGATTGCGGCCCTTGAGGACCAGGATTCGACACCCCTGACCTACGCCTTCTCAGTGGCTCTAACAAACTACTCAAAGGTCTTGATGCTGATTGCTCAAACTCAAAGACGACAACAAGCTCCATGTTTCTGCTCTCTCGATGTCCCTGTTGAGTAACATCCTTTTCCACTCAACGTCGCCATCCACAACGTAAAATTAACCTTAAAGGCTAACATAGGAAACCCTCCATTGTTCTATTTCCTACATGCTCCTAGAACTTGAGCTACATCCAGTAACTACTATTTGTTGTCTTGGTGACTTGGCCTTTTTGTTGAAGCTGAAGCTGTCTGATCCTGAACTACAACGGCAGAACAGCAGAAATGCACGTTAAAAATTCTGATTCCACCTTTTACGAAGCTTCCGTCTCTGGTTTCAGTGAGCCGAGATCAGCTCACCAAGCTGCTAAATTTGTAAAAAACTTCAGTCTTTACACCCCTATACACGATCAAATGGCTTGCATGTGCAGTGGAGTAGTTTGTATAACAAATAGAAACTGACAAAAGGCAGAATTAGGATTATTTTCGAGAACACACTAATTGTTCTCCATACGTGGAATTAACGGCTAGCTTTCATAAACAGCAACTGCCTAAAATTAAGCTTTGATCCCACACCGACTGGTTTTAATCCAAGTAAAAGTCAACGTTATGCTGACCAAGCACGGCATGGCTGATAAACTTTTGTGCAACCTTGCGTCTGCTTCACATTTTACATTAATCATCTTGTTACAATTCAATACAATTCCTCCAGCAGGACAATGCACCCCACTGTAACTCAAAAACAGCTCATGAACAACTCAAGGCATCGACCCAGCCTCCAGACTTGCTAGATCTCCTTCCATTTGAGCAACCATGGGATGTGCTGGGACAAGACCTATCCACAGAGGCCCCAATTCACTACTGACAGGATGCAGATATCTATACCACAAAAACCTTACTGCAGAGCTGAAGATACACGGACCACCATGATGGACCCTAGATCCCACTATCCTGCCCATTCTACCTTCATTGGTTTTCCCAGAATTCTTGGTTCTCCTCCATTACTGCTGCTC